AGCAGCAGAGCTACCAGTCTTTTGATTATTTAAGCTTGCAGCAACAAAGTGGCTCTTATACTGGGACTGACAGAAAGAGAGAGAGAGAAAAAAGAGAGCATGTTTGCCTTGGTACTGCACCAGGAACCACACAGTCATCACGCACACACAAGCCCATCTCGAATTCTGGGGAAGCCCTAGGAAAGAGTTCCTATAAAAGGTCAGTCTTGGAGTAAAAACTGCTGTGCTTAAAAACACAGAATTAGTAACAGGCATCTGCTACCAAACCACAGAAACAAGGGGACTCCTATGTTGTGGGGTTAATTTCTACACTGAAGAGAAAGAGTTTCTCTGTTCCCCATTTCTTTTGATTGCAATTACACTATTGCTGCTAAGCAACCTAAATAGGATCAAGCCTAGCAGCAGAATCCAGAAGGGAAAGATAGCAAAGAGGCGACTGAAAACAAAGTAAGTTTGGCAAATTAACTTTGTGCAGATGTGTTCAGTCCAGCCTGCAGACTCATGCTGCCACTTTGGACTGCAATACTGAGCATGGGCTCCAAGCAGATGAGACGTGGCCACAGCTACAACTGCCAAACTCAAATGCCCCAAAATCAACAGGGTTTCTGCATTTTCAGGGGAGAAATAATGTAGTTGTCTTGAATCATCAGTAGGAAAGTTTTCCCATGTTAAGTCCTTTCCTCTTGAGTTCAAACTTGGAGTACAAGTGCTGGAACCAACCTGAAAGGCTGCTTTCATTGCCGTAAGCCTGTCTCCCATTGCCCCAGTGGATGGCTTGTACGCCTCGTAGTTACTCATCACGCTGTTGTTGTTTCCACGGTCCTATGCAAAAAGACAAAGGACAACTGGAGGGATTTACCCAACACACACACTTTCAATTCAACTCTCCTCTGAACCTGTCTTGGCTCTGCACCCAGCAAATATGTCTACTAATGATGACAAACTTCTGGGGAGCACCGAGCAGCTCAATAGTTTGCCCCACGTCCTTGAGGACAATGAAAAGTAAAGATGGGTTAAGTCTTAGTGACTTCCTAGTCACAGAATCATAGAATGGTTTGGGTTGGAAGGGACCTTATCATCTAGTTCCAGCTCCAGTGCGATAGGACAAGGGGTGATGGGTTCAAACTGAAATCGGGCAAGTTCAGGTTGGATATGATTCTATGATATAAGGAAGAAGTTCCTTACAGTGAGGGTGCTGAGGTGCTGGAATGGGCTGCCCAAGAAAGTTGTGAATGCTCCATCCCTGACATTGTTCAAGGCCAGGCTGGATGGAGTCTTGGGTGACGTGGTTCACTGTGAGGTGTCCCTGCCCATGGCAGGGGGGTTGGAACTGGTCGGGGGTGTTGGATGATCCAACCCTAACTATTCCATGATTCTCAGAGTCCCTCTCCAGCATCCTTGTAAGCCCCCTTCAGATACTGGAAGGCTGTTCTGAGGTCTCCATGCTACAGTAAAACCTCACTTCCCAGCTCCTTGCAGTACATGCAAAAGCAAAATGCAGCCAAATGATTGCCCTGGCCCTGAAGAAGGCAGCTCTTGACAAGAGAGTAACACCACAGGGACAGTTTCATCTGGGATGCTTCTGATACTATGGAAGATTCTGAGCTATGAAAGCCTTTGAAAGCAGAGGCTGTACTCCAGTAGTAAGATTTTTTACATTAAAAATTAGTCAATACTAAGTCTAAAAGTTCCAAGAATCTGTAGACAACTTCTTCAGCACCTCTACTTACAGAATTTTCTGATCCCAGACCAGGACGTTCACGGTATCCTAAGCCACCACCACCAATATTCAGCTTCTTGCCTTTTCCTCCTTTGAAACGTGATTTTCGGAACCATGGATTCTATGCAAAAGAAAGACCAATCTCAACACAGGGAATAAGAAGCTTCATAAATGCCTTTGCTCTCTTGCAGCTCCACAAGGCAGCAAAAGACAAGAACTTTGAGAGCTGACAGTGGCACAAGCACAATTGCTTCAGCTATCTGTCATACCTATATATAGTGAGCCTGCCAGGCAGCCCTGCCAAGCAGGTACAATGATCAAGCAACAACCATTTCAGAGAGTGAATGTCCCTGTAATTATGTTCGAGTTTAGCTTTCAACTAAGCTGCATTTCCCAGGTGCCTGCCATAAATCCACATTGAAAATCCAACTGTAATGAGATACTGGAGCTGGAGTGCCCTGCTGGCATCAGCCAGATCACAGCTCCCAATTTCACAGGCAGTGCCTGACCCCAAAATAGATTACATACTGCATTCCAAGATCTTCATGTCTTCATGGAGTCTTTCAAAGGTCATTAAAAACACTAGAAAGCCTGCTTAAAAGCAGGACAGATCACCAAAAGGTCACTGCTAACACATGATGGAGCCAGAAACAAGTCCCTGAGCTCCTCTTCTTGTGCTAATCATGGAAGGAATCTTCCTCTACTCAAGAGGCTTTTCTGGTTCATACCTGCATTGCTAGATCCAACAGTTCTTTGGAAACATGTTGATTAGCCCCTTCCAGGTTCCTGACAAGATCACCAGCAAAGTTACTGTCTTTGGGGGTCAGCAGAGTGTAGGCAACTCCCTTCTCGCCTGCCCTGCCAGTACGACCGATCCTGTGCGTGTGAGTGTCTATGTCTCGAGCCACGTCGTAGTTGATGACAGTCTTAATGGAAGGAATATCTAACCCACGAGCTGTAATAAAAAGCAACACAGCGGGAAGTATGATGATCCCAAATTAACTCAAAGCAATCCCATTCATACCAGCTTATCACTTCATTCTGCTCCAGCACACAGAAGGAGTTTCCGCAGGAACACAACCCATGTAAGACACTCCTCACAGGCTAAAACTCCTAAGTGTAGCAATATCTTCTCTAACAGTAGTATAAGTTACACTGATTCCCCAGGTCCACAGGGTTAGGGATGGAAGAGACCTCTTTGTATGACTGTTTTTCCAATGAAGAGAGAGGGATTTGTTAAAGGACACTGAAATTCACTCTTTGGTCAGCTAAACCTGGGTACTAAAGCTCTTCTAGAAAAGGCTTCAAGTGTGTTCACTTCCTCTTCACTTAAGCATGCATCATGTGTCAGCTGATTAACAAAGAGCAACTATTTTCCGTAAGAAACAGCTTCTTTTCATTCTGTATATTAAAAGCTGTCAGACTGTAATAGAAACATCATTAGAAGACTTTGAAAACAAGCCCCCCTGCTGACACTGTGTACGTCTGAAAAACATCAGGAACCCAGTGCCCAGCATGCACAGAAGCCAACCTTGCTGCTTCCCACTGACATGTGTTGGCCTTGCTGCCAATATCCACAAACCTGTAGGAGATGCTGTTTTGTAGAACATCACCTACCTGCCACATCAGTAGCTACCAGTATCGGGATCCCCTTTTTCTTAAATTCTGAAATGACTTTATTCCTCTCACTCTGGTCCATATCACCATGAAGCAGCCCCAGATTATGATCCTCCTGCTTGAGGTTATTGGCCAATTCTTCTGCATTTGCCTTCTTGGTGACAAACAGGAGAACACTGCCAGAAGAGGTGAACTCCACAAGGCGTCGAGTCAGCCAGTTCCACTTGCTAGGGCCAGAAGGGAAAATCTCCACAATTTGAGTAACATCTTCATTTGCCTAAGGGAGAAAATAAGACAAGAAATAATGCAGGACCGAAAGGACAGTGTGGCAAACAAATGCAGAATGAAATGAGGAGTTTCAACTAGCTGTGAGAGTAAACAGTGGAGAAACAGGGGAACAAAATTCTTTAGAAGAGATTTTAGCTCTTGTCTAACTGCTGACCACTTCTTCTCCACAGTTCAGAGAAGGCAGGGGTTAAACCCGAGAGAGGCAAGGTGTAGTCTTTGACATGATGCAGTTTAGCACCCTCCTGATCTAAAGGTGGGTACTTGCAATTCAGATGATCTTGGGACAGATGCTATTAAGATCTGAAATAGACTAAGCAAGAGCAGGTCTGAGATGGAGAGGATGCTCATCAGTACGAGTTACTCATGTGGCCGTCAGAGAAAGTACTCCTGTGAGCTGTGACTTGCCCTGGGATCAGGAAGAGGGGAGGTGTAACCAGACTCCCCATACTCCCTATACAAGAATGATGCTCTCAGAGTAATAGTTTAGATCAGGGAATAGAAACCCTGTGATTGAGCTGGGAAAGCTGCTGCTTTTCTTAAGCAAAATGTAGGCAAAACAGTTTCCCAGAAAGCCATTAATTTGTTGGGAATGAAGCAATACCTCACACTCCTGACTGAGGAAAAATAACACGCAGAGAAATGGTCAAAAGAAGAGTGTTCTGAAGGTCACCTTGTGAAATTTCTCAATAGTTTTCATATATTATAAGCAAAGTTTCTTCACAGCAAGGATGCATCTGCCCACTTGATGACTTTACTACCAAATCCCTCTTCGGCTAATAGATCAGCTGCTACTGTCAAGCAAGTCTAGAATCAACATTCCCATGTGAACCAACTGAAAGACTTTACAGTCTGAGTTCCCAACCCTTCACTGCGAAAGCTGCAATTGCTTGCTTTATACTTTTGAGACAAAACAAAAAGATATACCCATCGATCCAGCCTAATAAAATCAATCCCTGCATTAACGTTGTTTCACTCTCTGATGAAACCTCCTATCACTGTAAGAGTCAGAAAGGTCAATACAATAAGAAACCAAACACAAAACTTTACTATTTCTTGTTAAGCAAAAAGAATTTAAAGAATGACTACTGCAGTTTAACTTCAATTTCAAACAGGGAGAGAAGGCTTCCTTTCTCTGCTTGTCTCAGAATTATCATGGAATTACCTCTCCAATGTCTCCCTGCACAACTCGAATGGGGTCGATCAGAATATCCCGGGCCAATTTCTCAATCTTCTTACGGAAAGTGGCACTGAACAAGAGTGCTGAAAGAAAAACAGTATTTAAGTTCCTTAAAATAACAACTTCCTTTCAGAATTGTGGCAACACTGCACAGATCCTGTCAAGGAGGACTTGTCCTCATTATACCAGATGTCCGTGATCTGAAGCTACAGCCTATTTTACCGGTTCTAACGAAAATTATCCACTATTAGAATCCCTCAAAGTGGAAACACATTTTCATGGCACCTGAAATAAGATGTTGGTAATATGTGGCAATGCTGTGAACTTGCTTTCAGGGCAGCTTAGAACACAGGCTCTCAAAGCATATGAACACTTATTCAGCTAATCATCTTTCCTCTGAGTAAAGTGCGTGGAGGGATTACAGACTGATGAACAATTTGGTTCGATGCCCACACTTCACAAGTGCTCCCTCCCAACAGCCCACATGGAGAATAACACCAGTGGACTTTTCAGAAAGTCTCATTGTGTGGCTGTGTCTAGAACAGTAAATCCCAGCTCTGTTCCAGTCCTAACTGGCAGCCACCAGCCTCCTTCGACCCTCAGGAGTTTACTTTGAGACATGCTTATACTTACTCTGCCTGTCAGGACGTACATGGCTTGCGATTGATCTGACTTGATATTCTGTAAAGGAGAGGAAAAACCCTCTGATCAACATTGTATGCTCATTATTTAGTAGAATAACTCAAAATGCAACTTCATCCATGCAACTTGAAGTGCCCAAAAGTTATTCAGCAACTTAAGATCAAGGGGTTTGAACTTCAGCGTCAACAGGACTTCGCTGATCTCTTAACAGCAACAGATATTAGACCTTTAAATATGAGCTATATCTATAAAATATTTGCTTAATGTATTATCATATATATGAAGCGACAGGGGTTACAAACAAAGCTGGGAACTGGACCCTGCTGCTTTCCAAAACAGTGACCTTTGTTCATTACATACCAAACCCCATATCAAACATTCTGTCAGCTTCATCAAACACAAGGTAAGTGACTCTTTGAAGGTTTGTAGCTTTCTTTTTCACATGATCAATCAAGCGACCCTATTAAAAAACAAAACAAACAAGTTTTTAAAGCATATTTAACAAACTCTTTCCTTTCCTCCAACCATTAGTTGCTCAGTTTTGTCCAAGTTCACAACTAGTTTCTGCAATAAGCAATGTTAGGTGACAACTGTGCTCATTCAAATCCCTGGTTCAGCATCAACGCCCCTTCTGATTCAGCATTTCAGCCCTTCACAGGCTCTACACTCATTCAGGAAGATGGCACTCAAGTTCATGACATTCTGGGAATCTTCTTCATGAATTTAAGGCTCAGCAATCAGAACCTGGTATCGTGCACAACTGATGCCGATTCAAGCAGATCTTGCTTGTTACTCTGCCTTCTGCTGGAGATCATACCTAATCTCTTTCAATTTCTTTGGGAGAATAATCCCAGTGTATTTGCTCTCAACATCTGATAACCTGTGAAGAACCTAAATTTCAGTTATCAGAGAACAAATTCTGCATCACCAATGGTATTAAAAATCGATCTCAGCTTCAATTAAGCAACAAAAAAAGGTCCTGTGTGTATACAGGTACTTACAGGCGTGCAGACAACTATCTCTGCCCCCTCCTGAAGGGCTTTGGCTTGCTCCCACATGCTTCCTCCTCCATAGACAGCTACAGAGCGCAGATTATACGCCTTACCAAAGCGCTTACATTCCGAGTGGATCTGAGGATTTTAAACAAAGCACATCACAGTTCATGTTAGATCTGAGAAAACAAACCTACCCGGGATATACAGCCCAGCTCCTGAAATCCACTTTGCAGCCTAATAGCTTAATGAAATTATTCAGGGCTGGATACTTCAAGAATTTCCAGTAATTTGAGAAATGTATTTAGGCATCCATTGGGAGACTTTAAAACACTCCTCCAGTGCCTAAAGGGGCCTCCAAGAAATCTGGAGAGGAGCTTTGGACAAGGGCCTGCAGGGACAGGACAAGGGGAATGGCTTTAACCTGCCAGAGGGGACATGGAGATGAGAGCTCTTAGGCAGAAGCTCTTCCCTGTGAGGGTGCTGAGGCGCTGGCACAGGGTGCCCAGAGAAGCTGGGGCTGCCCCATCCCTGGCAGTGTTCAAGGCCAGGTTGGACACAGGGGCTGGGAGCAACCTGCTCTAGTGGAAGGTGTCCCTGCCTGTGGCAGGGTTGGAGCTGGAGGAGCTTTGAAGTCCCTTCAGCCCAAACCAGCCTGGGATTCTATGATCCAGCTGTGATTTAACTTCCAGGCTCTATCCTTTTACACATACAATTTGTGGCAACGAATCCACAGTATTCTTCATATTTAGGCTGTATGGCACATACATGCTTTTCTACACACCTACCTGTTGGCAAAGCTCTCTGGTTGGGCAGACAATCACCGCAATGGGACCATCCCCTGGCTCAAGCTCCTTTTGATCCATGATATGAATCAGCATTGGCCAGATGAAGGCTGCTGTTTTTCCGCTTCCAGTCTTAGCTATCCCAATCATATCTCTGCCACTTAGTGCAACTGGAACACCCTAAAAATAAGGAGATTCTAAACTTGTATACGCCAACCACAGCATATTCTTGTCTATTACATGAAAACTCAGATAACAAGAGGAAAGCACACTGCAGAGGAGTCACAGCAACATCCATCAATGCTTACAGTTTCATTGCCAAGTTTAGAACTGAATTAGTTTATTTTAAGGGCTGGAAGCAATTTTTATATTATGACTTTTGGTGTCCTGTATGAAATCAGTGTTTGGGCACAGTACAACATCCCAAGGATATATTTACACTTACACAAACACAGCTTGTCCAGCTGTAACAATGCTAAAACCAAATTCTCTGAGCCTGTTCTTTCTGTAACCATTCTGAGTGCTGAAGTCCTCAGTTCATGCCTAGTAAAATACAAATCATTCTTTGTGACAGCTTCATATAGGAAACTAGAACTGCATACATCCTCATATGGACCAAGGGATCTCTGCACTGTGTCATTAGTTCTCTTTAGATGTTAGAGAAGCAAGAGGACTCACCTGACATTGTATAGGAGTGGGTTGGGTATACTCAGATTTCCTAATTTGATGCATAAGTTGCTCGTCAAACCCAAAATGAGCAAAACTACTGCCAGGCCTCGGAGGAGCAGCACCGGAGACCTGAGGAACAGAAACACAGCATTGTTCATGAACAGAGAAACAAAAAGTGAGAAAAAATATGGTGTCTCTGCCTCTGAAAATGGCTTTCTACTTTTTGAAGAGATGTAAGTTTAAGTAGGTACAAATTCCACATGTGTGTAAATAGGACTTTCGGGTATAAAAATGTAGATAAATTGTCAATCCACATAAGCTACCTCCTTGTATACCTGGTCTTCTTCCCCAGGTAATTCCCTTCATGGAAAGTCACTACACCAACATGTTACAAATGGCACATAATATTCCCAGTTTCCATTCCTAGCTCTGGAGTTCTTTAGTCCAAGGGTAACCATGCAATTGGCAAACTGCAGTACCCACTCTGACAAATCCAGAGGAGACTTTCACGAACTGTTAAGGAAAATCAAGCTCCCTTAAATCAAAGTCACTGAAGTTGTTTGAGAGGCTGGAGTTTCCTGGGAAAATCTTCATTAAAACTATTAAGACAGCCCAAAACAAGGAGTTAAAAGGTCCCAGGAGGATAGTTTTGTGACCAACTTACCCGGAGATTTAGCTTATGACGTAGCTCCACCACTTGCTGGGGGGTGAGACTGGTGATCTCCTCATGTTCATCATAGAAATTCTTCTCAAATGGTGGATATTCAATCTGCAGGAGTAATTACTCAGTTAGTTCCAGGACCCAAGATTCTCTCATTCCACTGAGTTTTGGTGGGGAAATGCCCTTTTCCTCAAAAGTTCTTAACTGTCTGCAAGAACAGTTGTTTAATACAAAGCCATTTCAAGGATCTTTAATAGGACCTATGTAGCACGACACTGAACTGTAAGAGGGATGGAAGCATATTTCAGTCTGCTTCTGAGCTCCTGCTTTCTAGAATGGAATAATCTTCCTACCTCTGAATGGTCAATAGGTGGAAGAGGATCAATGATTTTTTTGGACGGTGCAATTGGATTCCCATCACTATCATACTCCAGGTTATCCTCTTCCTCTTCTTGGACCACACCAGCAGTGGGGTTTTCAGCCATGTAGCGAAAATAAGCTTCCTGCAGCAAAACATATCAGTAAAATCACATACAATAGGATGCAAAAATACTACTACATTTGTCTAAGTGACGCATACACTAAATGGCTGTTTGCTTTCATACCCACCATTGAGGAAACAAACCCATGTTCACTAGAACTGACTCTTCTAATAAATACCAACAGTTATGTCCAGAAGGACAATATCACAAATGAAGAAAACAACTACAGTTTCAGACCACAAAATGCTTTGAAAAACCAAACTTCTCTTATGTGTCTGCTTAACAGCTCCTTCTACAAGGACTTGTTATGCTTTAACAGAAGAATCTATTCTTTTTTCCACATGAACATAGTACAAACACCACAGGTTTTAAAGCAGAACACAATGTTACTAAGCACATGATGTTCACTTCTTTTCCTATGCCAAAGACAGTTTCTCCACTTCCCCTAATTAGACTTTGAGAAATGAAAGCATATCTATTTTTCATTGAGAGAGTCAACAGCAAGTGGGAAAGAAGAGTCCTTCAACACCAGCCCAAGTTCGAAATCACTGTCACCACTGTCCCACACCATCCTTACAGCTCACAAACATGTGCGTTGCTGAGTCTCACTGGCACACCAAAACATTCTCAGGGAGAAAACATAACTCACTTGACTGCCAAGCAAGTGTTAAAGATCAGATTTTTAAAGCAAGGATCAATTTACTACTATATGGATATACTCATCTGGGTTTTTAATTTGCATGGCCAATTAGCACTCAGTCCCAGAGATATGCAAAGAACACACCTGAACAGCAGCTGTTTGCAGGTATAAGTCACCCTTGCTCAAACTTTAGCACTCACCAAATTGGAAGCAAAGGGCCAGAGGCCAGACAACCCTTCCACGTTCTGTGTTACTGCTGTTAATTACAACTTAATGATTACATTTTGAAAGGAAGTCTTTCCTCTTTGTTTATTACTTCTGTTACAGTGATGCTTATAATCCTCAATCAGAACTGGAAAATAAACTGAATAAAGAGCAAAAAACCTGATCCTTGCCCTTAACAGACATGAAATTTCACTGCAAATAGCCTCCACAGTTTAACAGCCTCTCTCTGGTGCTCCATGTTAGTGGATTCTAATCTCAAATTTGACAAGATCCTGAAAAATCTGTACAGGAAGTTGAAGTTCAAATTGACTGAAGGAAAAGTCTTCTTAAACAGAGTAAAAAAAAGAATGAAATCAGCTCCTAATATTCTTCTTTTTTTAGTGAAACAGCTGGAAGGGTAGAGACAGCAGGGCAAGCACTACAGCTTATCCGGATACTGCGCATGACACTGGACTTTTGGGTGTACCTAGCAGTTCTATATTTGGGGAGGGAAGGGAAAAAGAAAACAAAACAACAAAGAAGAAGATAGAAAGACTGCATAGGAACTCACTTGGTCATCTTCCTCTTCAATGTCATCTCGAATACCCCTGGAAAAACAAGCGGAGAAAAAAAAACTTCCCTGCAAGTGTTCCACAGACTCAGCTCCATACTTTCATGTGCTAAGTGCTGAGCTCCATACTTCGTGGAAGGCACAACACTAACAACTCAGTAACATTTATAATCCCAACCCATGGAGTTTTCGTATTTGGTGCCAACCATAACAGCGACCCTGCAAAGACTTCTTTTACTTCTATTAATGAGACTGAAAGATTAGGACTCCGTCTTCCCAGTAGAAGCCACATCAAAGATCATCCTGGTCTAAGCTCTTGATGCTACGCAAGTCCCATAACTGAAGAGGAATATCAGCCAGGAAGTGCAAATCCAGTTCAGAACTTCCCCAGGCGGTCATTTGGATCCGGTGTTCTGTTTCAGGACCATGTATAATCTGATCAACCCCATGCAATGCAAATTCTACCAATGTATCTGACATTTCTATCAAGAATCAACAGCATCATTATTTTCCTTGGTCAAAACAGACAAGCTTCCAAAATGTAACTGTTTTTAAAGTCCAAATGAAGTATCCCAATTGTCACATGCTACCTAGTTCCTCAGCTTTACAGGGAATGCCTTAAAGCCTAGTTTGCAAGACTCTCCAGTACTATAGGTACAGCAGCATGGGGTTACTTTGTTCACATACATGCAAAATTAAACTAAACCATCCTCACCATTGCAAGGATGTGGAAAGAAGACAAACTATTTCAGGCTGCTCTGGAAGACAGTACAATGTGCTGCCCCAGTTTGTGTGGCCTAGAAAAGCTTCTCATGTGAGGGAACTCTTGGTGTTGTTACATTTTACTGCAGGATGCCACTATGGATTCTTCCCTTCTGGTATTCAATTTTTATTGCTCAGAACTTTACCCATGGGGGATATCATGCGCTGGTTAATGCTGGTTACTTGGTGTACGTTATATTGGCTACAGAACAATCATCATCAACAAAATGCATTGGAATTCTCTTAGCACCACACAAGAAACAGGCAGGCATGGGAATTATAAAAGAGAACTTACTTAGCATTCTTTTTTTCTTTGTCTTTATCTTCGAGTCTCTTCATGTCTCGAGCAGCTTGATCCTAACGGGTCATAAAATGACAACATGTTAAACAGACAAGATGATGAAACTTGGAAGGGAAAAATGTTCCTATATCACTAGACCATCATGCCACAGAGACAACACTTTTTGCACTCAACTTTTCCTTGTTCCATATCCTATTAAGCTAAATAAATCCTCCTACTAATACATTCGAAATCTTTATACTTGTAACTTCATGGCAATGTTGTGAAAAAATACATTCTCTGCATTCCTCCTGAAAACACTGTACTAGAATCCAGCTAATAACAGAACTGCAGCTTAGAAACAGCTCATGAGAAACACAAACTCCTTCAATTCAGGTAGTGAAAAATGCACAAAACCTTAATTTCATGGTCAGAGACACACGAAACTCTTCATTGTATTGTTTGGACATGCTCTAATTGACATGGCACTAAAAGGTAAGTGACATCCTGAACACAGCTGCCAAAGGCAGGAGTGACATTTGCAGCTCCTGACTGGGGAGAAGTATGGCCACACAAATGAATAAACATCTCAGGAGCCAGGTCTTGCCTCCACTTCAGCCATGAATGCCTCCAGAGGATCATCATCGCTGTCAGAGTCTGCTGATTTGGAATGAAACTGCTGGCGAGTGGGGGAATTCTCTGCGGGAATGTACGGCAATTCCACATTGCTGGAATCTTCCTCTTCATCCTCAAAGTACCTGAAAAGAAACAAACAACAGCCCAGTCACCACATGGTGGGTTACAGTAGGTGACCTTTGAAGGTCCCAACCCAGACTAGTCTATGACTCTATGTCCTACTGCACTGTGCTGCCTCTCATGGTTTCCAAGTGAAGTCTCCCACACGGAGGTGGATAAAACCAGTCAGTATGTGCACAGGAAAAGATGTTGAGCTTTCTTTATTTACAGTTATTCCTGTTGGAGGCTAAAAGTGGTGGCAGGGCAATGAGATATTATGAAACTAATCTCCTTGTGTGGCTCTCCCAGGCTGGTGAATACAGGAGGTTCTTCTGATTTCCCTCCTATTCAACACATTTATGCAGCTAACAGAAGGGTCAGTAAAGAGTTGTGGAGTTGAATGTTTCTCTGTGCAAAAGACACCCAAATTTAACCCTCTTGGCCCCAATTCAACATACCAGAGTGTGAATAAGATTGAACTGAGGTTATGTTCTTAGAGAGAGGAGCTCTCTGTGGGCTGCTGCAGTATCACGGGGTCTTTTAAATCTATTTAGAGGCAAGGATGTGTTATTACTCTCATTTTACAGATGACGTAAAGGGTAAGTCATTGGCTCAAGGTGATGCCAAAAGTCTGCTGCAAAGCAGGGATGGGGGTTCGTGCCTGTGACCAGCTCAACTTTTCTTGATACTGCTGTTGTAAAGCTACCAGGGTTCTGTTACACCAGAGGTTTACCTCATAAATGTCCCAGAGACATTCCCTGACTTTGGAAACTTTCAAGCACTACAATCTAGAGCTGGATAAACACCGCAATGATGGCACTTACGCATTCTCCTCATCAAAATTTGCTCGCTTTGACCCAATTTTGTAGAAGGAAGGCAGCTGAGGAGGTCCTGATTTTGCAAATGCAGCAGAAGAACCGGCAGTTCCAAAAGCACTGTGAGACTGCTGAGAGAGCTTCGGCTCCTCCTTCTTCCCAGGTGTGATGGCAAAGCCACCAAATCCAAAGCCTCTCTTAGTACCAGGTCCACCTTTATTCCAATTCATGATGTCCCCGGTGTATCTGTTAAAACCAGAAAAGAAAACTTAATGCTCTTTCTGCTTTAGGCAGTTCTGTATCTAACGGTCACCATTTTTCTTGGATTACTTCAGGCACGACAGATACTTGTGGAAATGTGACTGATGAGTTCGATCTACTTCCCAAAAAGCATTAGGCTTTGTTCTTTTCGTGTAGGTATGAATGTATCCACAATCGTCTTCCAAAACAGATCGTGTCCCTCAGTGATTACTTCAGCATATTCAAGATGTTGCCTGTCTTCCCTGTTTTGCAACCTAAGACAAACAAACCCAAGGCCAGAACTTTGAACATCAGCAGAGACAAGAGATGAAAAGGCAGCTCAGGACATATTTTGCATGCCCATACAGTCCCATCCTCAAGCGTTTCATGGCTTCCTAAACACCACGCTACTGCAACCCAGCGGCTCCAGAAAATGAGCCCGAAGCAGCCCACTGCTCTGCGGCAGGGCATGCTCCTGCCAAAGTCACCTTCCCCTCCTCAAAAAAGCATCTTCAGCCACAAATATGTTCTCCAACCTACATTTTTCAAACCACGCTTTCAACACTCCACATCATCTGCCTGCCCGGAACTTGGTTTTCTAAGGTGGATGAAGAGAAGGCTGAACTGATAGACTAGGATGTACCCTTCCCATTCCAAGCAATTTAATTATCCCACCTGCGTGGTCAAGTCATCCCTTCAAGGCAGCCAAAGAAAGCACAACACCCAAAGCTTTCAAGTGCATTATAATTAGATTGCCCAAAGGCTACGAGTCTTATTAAACAAATTCTCACATTCAGCCAGAATCCTCCCATGAGATCAGAATCCACCAGCGAGAGAAACAAACAACCTGAGAAGAAACACTGCTCCTCCTCCCTGGGCAGAACATCTACCAGCTTACAACTTGCTCAGTAAACCTCCAGTCCAGACCAGAGCTTGCCAGGAGACTCTGGGGGAAGCTGCTGCTCAGTTCTCCATGGCAGCAGCTTGCTCTGGTGTCCTGCTCTCCCACTTGCACTGACACACTTACGGCTTCCACACCTGCAGATGTGGCAGGTAAGAGAGCAAAACGTACAACATGGGGATGAGGGGTGCTGGCAGCACGTCGGGCAAGCTTTTAAGATCCAGTATCGGATTTTAAGGACTCTTCCTCACTGTAATTATCGAGATTTGTCCTCCCACCACCCCAGAAAATAGAAAGAGCGACTCTTTTCACGCTGTCACACAGCTGCCAAAGGACAAAGTTTGCTCAGTTTGCCCCCGGAGCCAGTTCCTGCGGGACAAGGAGGAACCGCCG